ACCATGGTAACTATACAATGTACATTTTTACCATCTGGCAGCAGATTACATTTTGCATTCTATAAAAACATTTAACATCTCTAGCTGCGAAGTGTGGAATCTAAGAAAATCAGAAGCAGAGAAGCTTCAAATTATGCAGCATATGGTGGAGAGGTAAAGATCAAATCTGAAGTGTAAAAGTTCATCACAAGACTTTTTTTAGATGGCATCAAAATACAGTAGCATTAATATGGAAATACAACTGGGTAGGGCATGTTATACACAAGCCTTACAACAGATATGTCCAGAAATGACATATTAGTGGCAGTATAACTTCATATACCAAAAGGTTAACCCCCAAAAGGTCAGAGAGACAAATATAGAAAAACCTGGAAATACAGAAAAACCTGGAAAGAAGAACCAGAAAAAGCTGGAATACTATGGCAATGGACTGTATTAATACAAGCATCTATTGGCATAATTGCTTTGGGAGGTGAACCTACCCAAAAGAATATGATGTTCAAAATGTCAAAATATTCCTTTTCTTCTATGATTTTCTTGCCCGCGGTAGAAAGATTGTTACTCTTCTGATGGTGAAGTGACCCATTCCAGGCCTGATTGTTCAGTGATGAAATTTCCACTCTGATGTTGCTGTCTTTGATTAATCGTTCTGATGTTCTGTGTACCAATAATATATATTTCTTTGCAATACCAAATTTCCCTTTTCTGTCCAGGCACATCAGTAGCTGGATGTCCTTTCTCCTTTAATCCAGCCACAATGTAAAACATAGTGCTATTTCTACTTGAACTTTGTTCTTCCCCTTCCAACCTGAAGAGCTCATCTTCCAATATCAAGTTGATGTCCTGGTTGTAAATGGCCATTTATTTGCTTGGCAGAATATTTGAGTGGGATGCCATCTTCTTCTTCAGTAGATTGTGTTTGGTCTAAGCCCTTGTCTATGCTGGCTGGGGAATTCTGGGAGTTGAAATCCATACCTCTTAAAGTTGCTGAAGTTGAGAAAAACTAGTATAGTTCACAGTGTCATTGAGATGTGGAAGCCTCTTTACCACTTCAGAATAATGATCCGTGAAAAAGTGTTATACACAGAGAAATTAAAAGTAACATTTTAAAAACAAAATTAATGTTCATCTATATCTTTGAAAATGTGTTGCATTCTTATGAGTACTATCAGTGTTTAAGGATCTGTGAAAATATGCATATGTATATGCACATCTTTTCCAGACCCTTTTCAAATTTTAATTGCAATGTTTCCTTTCAGAATTTTTTTTTTAAAGTATTTGTGTGAGAGTGAATAAAGCAACATGGGAACGGAGGAATCAGAAAAGTTACTTCGAATAATAATTATCATATGGTTAGTAAAATGTGATAGTTTCCTTTATGGAACTCCATTTTATACCAAAGATTGCTGAGCCAACTGTAAACACAAGATGCAAACAAAGAAAGTTCTATTTCAAACCTGATGATTTCTTCCATTAAGAATCGGGGTAGATTAATTTTTTTTTCTGTCCTTTTTCTGTCCTTTTTTTTTTAAAACAGGTGCTGAAACTAATTTAGCAAATACAATAAATAAGGGTAGCTTTGAACATAAAAATAAAGAAATGATATGAATGGCCACCGCCAAATGTAATGTGGGTGGGTGTTTCCTGAGCTTTCCTGTGCAACTGTGCCAAAGTTCCACACTCCTGACCTGTTACACATCCCACTGTTACAGTTCAGGTCTCTCTTCAGAAATAGCTGCCAGTAAGTGCTAAATTGTGGCAAATGGTCTCCTTGGATGTGCAGAGAGAAAAAAGAGACCACCAAACCTATTTTCACTTTTGACCTCAAATAATTTCAACATTGTTTTCGTAAAAGGATGTCAACTGCTGTGCTACCCAGCTGCATAAGTTTAATTTATATTTTGTGACTGATTTGAATGGTTTTGAAGAGTAATCTAATTTCTTTAAATTGGTTTAACTCTAGGAAATAAATATAGCTAGAGAATCAAATCTTTCCAGAAGTATAAATGAGAACAAAGCTAAATGCAAATATAAGGGTATCCAGCTAATTAACAGTGCTGTTTTGAGCTTTTCTGTGTATCGAAAGTAAATAATTGTAATTGCATTTAAATGTCTTTGGTGAAAAATATAAATACATTGCATTCAGCAGGCTAGTACATTTGCATTTTTCTTTTATTAGGTGTGAAAACTAAGAATCCTCTGCCGAGTCTTGAGGGCTCAGTCCAAAATGTTGAATTGAAGTACTGCAGTACATCGTTGGTCAAATGTGCCTCTGGGACCATGGGATCAATAAAAATTTGTGCTAAAGCCCCAGGTATGTGCAGCTGGACCATGTAAAATTTTATAGCCTGTATAGGAGAGCAGGCCTTGCTTTTCACAAAGACGATTACTGAAACAAGAATGTAGTATTGTTCCTATGAATCAAATCTATTTTTTATTTCTCTTTTTGAAACCAAATTTGGATGATGAATACTTCTATTACTGCTAAGGAGCTGTACCTTGGTAATTACATATTGTAGAAAATTTTAGCTCTGTAAAAGCTAAGCATAAAAAATTAAAATTATATCTGAATGAACTTACTTTCAGCTGCAAGTGGCTGATGAAGTGATTTCTGAACATTCATTATTGTTTCCATTAAAATGCTTAAATATTCAATATTAAGTTTTTATTTAAAATGGAATGGATTCTATTCCCATGTTAACTTACATTGTTTACAACTTCAGAATAGGAGACTTGATTGATCATTGCTTGGATTTTTTGGGATGTATTCTCTCTTCCTCCAAATATGCTGTCATAGGTAGGGGTCCTTCCAGTTAACTCTGGATAGAATCGGAGGACATGGAGAGTGTAGGGAAGAAAACTGATGCAGAAGAGGAGGTCAATGAGTTTTATTATCAATTTCAGTTTGAAATTGACAGAACATGCAAGCAGGTTGTGCTCCTTGTGATTGGAGACTGGAATGACAAAGTTGGAAATATTGAGGAAAATGGATTATATGGCTTAGAAAACTGAAATGAAGCTGGAGAATAACTTATCAATTTCTTCCACTCCAATGATTTCTTCATAGCTAACACTGTCTTCAAATAACCAAAAAGGACACTTATATACATAAGCAGATGGAGTACAGAGAAATAAAATGGACTTTGTGATTGCTAAAAGTAGGTGGAGGAGCTCAATTATAGCATCAAAGACATGGCCAGGTGCTGACTGTGGAGTTGCTCACATGCAAGTTCAGCTAAAGAAGAAAGCCAACCAATTTCCATAATATGATCTGGAGCCTATACTCACCATTTTCAAGGAGAACATCAAGAATCACTTTGAAATCCTGAACCTCATTGAGAACCAGAGGAATTATGGAATGAACTTGAAGAAGTTGTTAAGAATGAATGTGAAAAGACCGCCAAAGATAAAGAAACGGAAGTAAGCAAGCTGGATGTCAGAACAAACAGTGGAAATTGCCAAGAAGAGAAGCCAAGAAAGACAAAAATCTGAGAAAGGAACCTAGTAAAGAGTTTCAGAGAGTTGTTAGAAGAGTCAGGAAGCAGTGTTATGACATCTGTAAAGACAGTGAAGATGGAAACAGAATGGAAAAACAAGGAAAGTTTTCCAAAAGACCCCTGAACACAGAAGGAGGTTCCAATCTCAGATTGACTCAAAAAAGATCAAACAAAGATGGAAGATGTATACTGAAATTTTGTACAGTAAAGATGTTAACAACTAAGATACCTTAGAAGATATTCCCTACTTACAAAAACCTCTAGTACTAGAAGATGAAGTTAAATCAGCACTCTGGTCATTACAAAGTTAGAAGGCTATGGGAACTGATGGAATACCCCCAGAAATATGGCAAGCAATAGGAGAAGGATAAATAAAGGTTCTAACCAAGCTATGCTAGCAAATCTGGAGAACAACACAGTGGCCAACAGATTGGAACCTATATTTCAATACCCCCCCCCCAAAAGGAGACTTAACAGAGTGTGAAAACTATCATACAGTATTCTAAATTTTGCATGCTAGCAAAATGCTGCTTAGGATCATCCAAAACAGATTGGATTGGATCATCCAGCAATTTCCTGCATGGAAAAAAAATATGCCAGATGTTCAAGCTGGGTTTAGAAAAGGCCAGGGAACATGAGGCATTATTATTGATGCATGCTGGATATTTGAAAAAGCCAGAGAATACCAAAAAGAAAGTATGTGCTTCATTGATTACAGAAAGTCCTTTGATTGTGTCAATCACATCAAGCTGTGGAATGTGCTTAGAAAAATGGGAATCCCAACATCTTGTCCTCATGTGAAACCTATACACATGTCAGGAAGCAACATTACAGAGAATACATGGCAAAGTATGCTCTTGGTGTGATGTTGGTTATTTGACCACTTCTGAGGAGGGTAACAGTGGTGTTGAATTGCCTCCATTTGTACAGCCTGCCTTGCAGCAGACTGGTGGAGTCCAAACTCTTTGGAAATAGTTTTGTAACCATTTCCAGCCTGGTGATCATCAACAACTGTTTTTCAGAGATCCTCAGAAATCTCCTTCATTCAGGCCATGACATACTTCCACATATCTGTGTTGTGAAGATCAGACTTTAAAAGTGAATACCCAGAATTCTGTTCTTTAAATAAGGCAGGACCTCTCACACTCAAATCTGATTATCATCCCATTGATTGAAATACCTGACTCTAATTTCCCCTTCAAATGGTCTGATAATCCTAGAGGTTCACATCCTTTTGCCACACACAAACAGGTAGCTTTGGATCAATTTTCCCAGTGAATAAATGAACAATATAATGATTTTGAGTAATTTGTTTAATTGGCTTCTCTTTATCTAGAAATATTGAAAATTCAAAAGGGTGTGCAAACTTTGAAGCACCACTTTACTCTAAAATAGTTATTTGTATTTTAAGGAAGCTTTGAATTGTAATTCACTTTATATTTCCATAGAATATATTTCACATAGTTCATTATTGAAATATTACACTTCAAATGTATTTGAATGTGTTTCAGATCTTTGCAGAGTTTCTTCCTGTGCATTTTTATTTAGTGCATGTTTCTGAATGAAATGCTGCAATCATTTTTCACCTACGCATCATAATTTGCTGTTGCTTAATTAATAAATGATATGTTTAACACATTATTACTATTAACATAGGCTTACGTCAAATGCCTTATTTTGGTATTGCTGATAGAAAAAGGCTATAATATCTGATTTATTTATTGTAATATATGATGCTATGATTATATTCTGTTCAACATCTCTTCCTTGAATCTCTGATGTTGCTTTAACCCTCTGTCCAGGTGATGGTGGAAAGGAGAAGCGTATCCCCTTAATACAAGGTCCATCCGATACCAGAGACCTACACAGCAGCAAATGGCTCAAGGAAAGCAGAAAGCCAGAGTCTCTCTTTGCTCCTGATTGGTTCGCTTTCACTGTTCAGATCCCTCAGTGTAAGGATTACAGTTACAGTTCTGGTGAGTGTCAAATTCTTGGGGAAAAATGTATCTAGAAGGAGAGGGAAGAGTTTTCTGAGAATCTGAGAGGGCTTCAAGAAAAACAGATGTTTTTCAGAAACTGAGATCTACTGCAATCTCAGTGGAAAAGTTGAAATTGGAGCCCACTTTGGCCACCTCTTTTTCTTTCATTCAGCCAGGATTAGACATCATCATCATGTGGTATTTGCATCTATCTTTCTAACTTTGTGCCACTTTATTTATTAAGCCCATGATAGACAGATTGCTTACCAATTAATACTTTGATATGGACTATACCAGAAATAATTCTTCCTTTGTGATATGTGGCTGATACATAATCTTTTAACTTATTTTCATGAAGAGTTTGTTAATTTAAATCAGTATTTTTCAAACTTGGCAACTCTTTTACATATTGGGTCTACTACTCTCACGTATTCTCCCCACATCGGGTGCCAGGTATATCGTGGGCTTGAGTACGCACAGCATA